TGCCACCAGGGCTTTTATTATTTGGGGGCGGGGGAAGGGAGCATAAATTCAATTCATAACAGAGCTCAATTCTAATCTAAGATCAGGGCCAGGACTAAGGGTCAGCCTGGCTCCCTACTTTGTTCTGACTCCCAGTAAAGGAGTTTCTGGAGTACTGGGGAGGTCTGCCTACAAGATAAGAGAGGCCCAGGAGAGCCTTGCCCACTGTCTGGTCCCTACAGCAAACCTCCTGCAGAGGCTGGGTGTCCTAAAACCTTCTAACCTACATGGCTCTGCTGCCCGAGATCCCCTCGCACCAGAATAAAAATAGTCCTTCACTTTGGAGCAGCTGACAGTGGGTGCCAGGCTGCCTGGGGGGAGGGGGAGCTGGGGAGAGGGAGGAAGGAGGGGTGCCTGACGGGGGCCACAGATGTGTGACCTTGGGAAAGTCCTTCCTCCTCCAGAGCCCACTTCAAGGCAGAAGCAGAGTGAGGAGGCTGCCTGCCCCAGAGGGTAGGAATGAGGGGCCAGAGACAACATGCATGGCACTTGAGGGAAGGCTTCAGAGGAGTGCTCCTCTCTGCCCTGCACACCTCCTCTCCAGGAAGCTCCCCGTCCCTCAATACCCTGTATCACCCTCTAGACCTCAAGACATTTCCAAGATGGGGCTCGTACTGCATCACACACACACACACACACCTAGAACTGGGCCTGGGTCAGGGAAGCTATGAGGAGAAGGAGGGAGAAGACCCTTGGTGCCCTGGGGGAGTGGGCCAGGAAGAGGAGGAGACATGAGGAAGGAGAAAGGTGCCCTTCCGCATTCACGCTGCACTCACTCTGGGCCAAGTGGCTAGGCACGTGTCCAAATTGGACATCCCTTCACAGTCAGGCCCTCCCATAGGCCATTGCTCTGCCCCTGCTGTTCCCTCTGCTTCTTGGATGCCTGTCCTCCTTCCCACTGGGCATCTTCAGAGAGGGTTCAAGGGTCACCTCTTTGGCATAAGGGAGAGTCGTCTACTCCCTTCCTAAGAAATGTCTCGTCCTGTCCCTTATTGGCGGTGTGATTCCTGGGACTCAGTAGATGGAGGGTCTTATTACCAACACAACTGAGCATGTCAGCTCCCTCTCCTCCTGTCCCCAAACAACCTGGCCCTGAGAGTTTCCCTGGGGAGGCTTGGAAGAATGGTACCTGTCCCTGCCTGGGCTCACATGCCCAGAGTGTGACTCCCAGCTCACATGCCCAGAGTGTGACTCCCAGCGTGCAGGGAGAGGGGAAGAACCAGCCGTCTCCAGGGGGGCGGCTCGCCCTGGCAGCTGCCCCCGGCCTGCCGCCCTGAGCCCCAGAGCCTGTTATCAACCTCCTTAGTCATCACACCAGGAGCCCAAATATAGCTCTCACCCATCCCTTCTCAGCAGGGGTCCACCCCCTGCACCCCCACCTCCTTTTCCTGCCAGGGCCTGCAGCCACTCTCATAGCTCCTTCCTTTCGCCTTCAAGCCGGCAATCCCCCCTCCCCCCACCAGGCCTCAGTTTCAGCACCCATCAAATGGACACATGGAAGCCAATGATCATGGGGACAATGAGGTGGACACTGAGGAGCAGCCGCCTGGGTGGAGAGCTGGCCTGTGCCAGGCTCTGGGCTCTGCAGCTCACTGGCATGATCTGACTTGGGCCTCCATGAGACGACCTAGGGAGGGTCTCTTTACTTCGGAGCCACTTGCCCAAGGTAGCAGGACCAGAAAGAAGTCCTGCCAGGTGGAGAACCCTGGGTCAGCCCACTGGCTCAGGCAGAGGGGCTCATTTGCATGCTCTTTTGTCTGGCATTTGCCTGTGGTTCAAAGAATGCTGAGTCTCCACCCATGCCCCAATTGGTCCTTAGGCCTAGGCCCAAGGACCTAGATCTGGTCTCCGCCCACTTCAGGATTGCATCAGAAGCTGGGTCCTCTGGGGGAGCCAGAAGGCTGAGCACGGGGAGTCCCATGGTTCCTTTCTTTTTCCAGTGGCCTCAGCAGACCCACTAGGTCCGCTCTCACCTCCTCCCTCACCACCATCACCACCTCCACGCCAACCCGCCCCCCACCATTTTCTCTCCTATCAGCATAACACCCCTGCGAACTCTTCTTCCCACCTCTGCTCCCCCAGCATGTGACTGCCCCCACTATGACACCAGCTTTCGTTCTGTCACCCCCATCCTCACGCTAAGCTGTGCTTGGGTGGTTACTTCCACCACAATCACCTCCACGCCCTCCGCTGTCGCCATTACTCACACCAGCGTTACCACCTGTATTAGTCTAGGTACTTTAGAGAAACAAATCCACAGCAACAAAATAAGAGAGTTTTATGTAAAAGAAGTGTGCATCATGAAAACATCCCAACCCAATGCTGCCCAAGCCTACAAGTCCAACATTAACTCATTAACCCAACACCAGTCCACAAAGTCCTCCACCTCACAAAACAGAGGCAGCGATGCCGACTGCAGGGGGAAAGCTGAGTCAGTGAATGTGTAAGCATCTCAGCGCTGGCAGGGGTCTCCACACGGCTGCTCCGGCACCCAGGGCTGCATCGGGATAGGTCCATGTGGCTTCTCCTTGGGGATGTCTTGCAGGAAGTCAATCTTGCAAGCTGAAGCAGGGAACTGCTAAGGCAGCTGCACCCTGGTGCGACCATCACAAAGCAAGAGACCGGAGAACTAGAAAGGCGAGGCTCACCCCCCATTTATCCCTCCGCCTTTCAATTAGCCCCACATGTGATTATCGGCCAGGCTGGCACCATTAACTAACTCATAAGGAGTGGGGTACGAACCCACGCGGACATATGTCCATTGGACCACCTTTACCACCTCCACCTCGGCTTTGACTGTCCCCTTGGCCACCTCCATGCTTCTGAATGTACCACTCTGTGCCCTCACTATCACCTCCCACCATCATTCAGGCCACCACGTCCATTGTCATCATCACCACAGTCGCCTCTCCCCTGTCCCCCACCACCCAAAACATCTCCATTCCCAACCCCAATGCCATCAAGCCACTTCCAACTCACAAGGAACCGATGCCCTCACTGCCACCGAGTCCACTCCCACTCCTGCCCACCCGACAGCCCAGGGAGAACTGCCCCTGGGTTTCTGAGACTGTTACTCTTTACAAGACTAGAGAGCCTCCTCTTTCTCCCTCGGAGTGGCTAGTGGTTTTGAACTGCTGACCTTGTAGATTACAGCCCAACAGGTAACCCCCTATGCCAGCAGGCCTCAACTGTGACCCTACCTAGCCTGTGAATCTTTATGGGAACAGGGAGCCTTCTTTTTCTCTTGTGGGAAGGCTGGTACCCTGTTTCCCCGAAAATAAGACAGTGTCTTATATTAATTTTTGCTCCCAAAGCCGTGCTAGGTCTTATTTTCAGGGGATGTCTTATTTTTCCATGAAGAAGAATACAGTACACATTTATTGTTTATTGTTCTATTAAATGAGACCTTGCACTTCCTGTCTGCTCCAGCTGCGCTGCAGCCAATAGTGAGCTGCGCGGCGGTGCTCACACCATTACGGTCCAGAGTTATAGTAGCTTTGGGGGGCCTTATTTTCTGGGAGGTCTTATTTTCAGGGGGATGCCTTATATTTCAGCGAGAGGCAAAACTGTAAGCAGGTCTTATTTTCAGGGGATGTCTTACTTTCGGGAAAACAGGGTAGGTACACCAGCAGGGCTCAACTGTGACCCTACCTAGCCTGTGAATCTTTATGGGAACAGGGAGCCTTCTCATTCTCTTGTGGGAAGGCTTTTGGTTCCCAGTTCATTGTTTACCCCGACACCAAACTAGACCTAGAGACAGTACAGCAGAGGGGAGAAGCGCATCTGCAGAGGAGAGTCCACATCACCTTCAAGGATCACTCATAAAGATGCTGGGCCCTGGGAAGCCTTGGGCACAAAACCTGGGGCATTTTTCTGCCTACACCAGGTGGAATCACGCCTAAGAAATCCAGCCATCCTGGAGGAACTGCAGAGCAGGTAGAAATGGAAGTGGGAGAGGAACAGAGGGTCCCTAGCTAAGTCTGACCCTTGAGTCTCCCAGTCATTCTTCCCACTTGTTGTTCAATCACTCCCCTAGGCCCATTGGGGACCAGTTCCTACACTCCATCCTGACTAGAGAGGCTCCCAGGCTTATTTCTGACCCACCTGCCAGTCTGCTCCCCTACTACTGAGCCTTCTGCACCCTAGTTCCTTTCCTCCAGGAACCTCAACTGGCTTGGGTCCCTATGGGAACTCCCTTTCCTCACAGAGACTCACTGGGTGACCTTGAGCAAGTCTCTCTGGGCCGAAGCTAGTGAGAGCTGGGCTGGGACAGGCCTGGTTGGGGGAATCCAAGGACAACGAGGGATCTGCCGAAGACAAGAGGCTGGTGCTTGGGTTGAGAAAGGGCTTCGATGGCTAGAGACTGAATGTCTGGGTCTAGGATGGGAGGGACAGAGCCAGGCAGTGGCGGGGGCAGGGGGGCAGGGTGGGGCGAGAGGGTGAGTTGAGCAGGAGCGGGGAGATAGAGGCACCAAGCCTTGAAAATGGGGCAAGGGTGGGGGCCAGGGCAAGCCCTGATCTGGCAGCAAGTCAGGAAGGTCACAGGATCCTGGGCAGGGACTCGGGTGTCCCTGAGGCCCGAGGGAGGGTGCTGACCTCTGAGCCACCTGTCTCCACCTCACACTCAGGTGTGTGAATGCCCTTCCAGGGGCAAAGGCTGGCCTGAGGACGGCAGGAGGGTCGGGGCAGATGGATGCTCTCTTCCATGCTGCCAGTGGGGACCTGGGCCCGGCTCATGTGTACATCTCACCCAATGGCTGTTCTAGCCACAGTAGTCTCTTTGAAGGGTTCCCGGCGGGGAGGGGGAGAGAGGCCACTTTGCGCTGGCCACCTCCAGGTTAGGAAGTAGGCTCCTGTGCCTTTAAATTCTCAGCAGGTTGAAGAGGCTGATGACATCACTGGTTCCCGGGAGCAGAGAGCTGGAGCTGAGCTGAGGGAGCCGGGCTGCTGGGGGCTGCAGACATGGAGGGCCAGAGCAGCAGCAGTGGCAGCAGGAGGCCAGGGCCCCCTGCTGGCTTGGGCTCTCTGCCTGTGCCCCATGGGGCTTCCCAAACAAGAGCACCTTCTAAGGTAGGACCCTGAAAACCTAGGTTCCCCTCTTCCAATCCCTGGGGGGCCCCCAACACCCTCCCCTCACTGCGGGCACCCTGGTGCCCCTGGCTAAAAGGCTGGCACTCTCCTCAGCCCACTGATTAGGGATTGGGCAAAGTGGATGACTTGGGGGATGGGAGGGTAGTGACAGAATGTCCAGTGAAAGACAGCGCGAGTCAAATCCAGGAGCCCTCCGGAGAGCCTCTGGACTGGGCAGCAGGGGACCCAGTTGTACACCAGATTTGCTGTGTGACCTTGGCCAAGTTGCTTGTTCTCTCTGAGCCCATGCAAAATGAGGAGGCTTGTCCCTGCACACTAAAGCTGTGACATCTGGGATGTCTAAGTTGCTAGTGCCGGAGGTGGTGTGGTGGTGGTGCCAGTGGGGAGGCTTGCATAGTGGGACACTTGGAACCAAGGAGGGTACCCTAAATGCTGCCTTGAAGAGCCAAGTTTGGCAAGCCAGGTGGAGGCAGAGTTTTTGATTCCCTGAACTGAGAAGGGCACAGGATGGGAAGCAGACAGAACTGTGTCTCCAGAGGCAGGACGGGGTTGCTCTGGGGAGAAGACTGTCTTCCGCCCCCACTGGCAAAGGAGCTTCATCCTGTCCCCAGAGTGAAGGGGAATCGGGAATAGGAGATGAGGGGCAGGGAAAGAAAGATCCTTGCAGGACCCTTGATGCTCCCCCCACACCTGCTGGGTAGCAAGGGGACACTTGCTTGCCTGTCCTCACAGGTGGTGGGGGGGCATAAGAGGACAAAACTTGGGGCACAAAGAGGTCTGATGCCAGCACCAACTTAGAAACCTGGACTTGCTCAGAATGGGACGGACTAGTCCGTGGGATTCAGCGGTATCCCAGTAAACATGGGGCTCATAACCGCAGACTGTGAGACCAGACGCCCTGGAACATGAGGGGGCGAGGGGGGGCGGGAACAGAAGCCCTAGGTGTACAAGTCCTTGCCTGAGGGCTCGTAGAAGCCGGGCTTGGAGTCTACAGGGCCAGTCTCAGCTCCAGGCGCTTGCCCACCGCAGAGCCCTGGGTTTTGGGTGAGGAGGGCAGGAGGGCAGTGGGACAAGGAGGGGTTTTGGGGGGAGGGGGTGGTGGATGGGGGGCGCCAAGGGTTCCTGGGCCCCTTGGGGACTGGGAGGGGAATTTAGCAGGCTGGACCCAGTGTGTCCAGGATGGGCGGCAGGGGGGTGGTGTCAGGTCTGTAGCCCTCCGCTGAGAAGCAACAGGGATGGGGGGTGGTGGGGAGGCTGTACAGGCTATCTGGCACCAGCCACCTTCCATCCCTGGGTGGGCAGGAAGTAGGTGCTGGTGGCCAGGAAGGGAAGGAGAGGCCATAGGTTCAGGCTTCCCATCTGCTGTATGTTCCCCCCATCTGTGTGAAAATGGTTTCAGACTTGAGAGAAGGGACGAGGTTCTGTGACCTCTCTCCTCTGAGACAAGAGCGAACGGAAGCAGAATGGATTGAGGTGAGCCAACAGGACGAACTTCCTTTGAAAGATGTGTCTCTTCATTAGCCAGATGGGCTCTGCTTAGGTCTCTACCGAAGTTGGAGGCCACCCCCCCACCCACCCCACCCCCAGTGGTCCGAGTCAGCCTGAGTCTCTGACTTCTCCTCTGCAAGGTGGACCCAAGTTTTCCGCTTCCGGTGAAGGAGAAGGCAGCCCCCGTGCCCTTGGAACCAAGGCTGGCTCTCCCACCCAGGGGACCACAAGCAGCAATGTCACCTTCCACGGAGGATTCCCGGCTGACTCCGGCCCCACTCTCTACCCCTGGGGGACAGAAAACATCTCCTGCCCACCACAGTTCCAGCCTGGCTCCAACATCTGTGGGCCAGCTGGTGATATCCGCCTCAGCTGGCCCAAAGCCTCCGGCAGTGACCTCCGGCTCAGCTCGGACTCCGAGCTCCCTGGGGCAGCTGGTGATGTCTGCCTCAATTGGACCCAGGTCTCCCCCAGCCATCCTGGCGCCCAGTCTGGCTTCGGCTCTCAGGAACCAGGAGCAGGTGCCACCCATCTCCAAGGGACTTAAGCCAGTACTAGCTGCCTCAGGCTTGAACCTGGCCCAAGCTTCTGATGGACAGCTCTCACGGCCCCTCTCCAGCCCCTCCCCAGTGCCTAGTCCAATTCTGTCACCCTCTCAGGAACAAGCGCCGGCTTTGACCTCTGTGACATCAGCCCCAGCCTCTGGGGAATGGACATCTGCTAGACAGAGGGACAGCCCAGCACCCAGACCTTTCCCCTCAGCTGAGGGGTGTCTCCAACCTCCGGCTCAGGCATCCCTGCCTGTGTGCACCCCAGCCCCAGTCCCAGCCCCTTCTGACCCCCGGCTCTCCCCCTCTTTCCGAGCCCGGCCTGAAGCCCCCCACAACAGCACTGAGGAACCTGTCCTGCCTCGGCCCCCCCAGACCCTGGCCCTGGATGTGGCCCATAGCCCTCCGGAGCCTGGTACCCGCTCCCCAGGACTGCTGTCTCCCACCTTCCGACCCGGAGGCTCTTCAGCCCAGACAGTACCCCCACCTCTGCCCAAACCACCTCGCTCTCCCAGCCGCTCCCCAAGCCGCTCCCCTTGTGTGCCCCATGTCCCTGAAGTGGCCCTCCCCAAGCCTAGCCCCCAAGGTATAGGGCCTGGCGGGCACCTGAGCCCCAGCTTTCAGCGTCAAGAAAGCTCAGCCCCGGCCACTACATCCCCTCCTACAGCCACCTCCTCGCCCTCTTCTTGGTCGGCACAGCCTACCTGCAAGAGCGACCCCGGTTTCAGGTGAGAGGCCCCTCTCCCAAGAAAGGCTTCTGGGGGGATCTGGGCTCTGGGGCTAGACCTTCTCAGGACAACTCTGCCTGTTTTGCCACCCTGTGGGGAGTTCTTGGGCGTGCCAGGCCCCTCTGGGACCCTTTAAGACAAGATCTCCAGGAACAGTCTAGAAAGGGTGGTAATGGGGAGGACTTCCAGTGCTGTTCTGAGAGCTTACACCCACTTCTAAGTTTCTTTTCTCCAAGAGAGCCCTGTGGGAGAGGGGTTGAGGGCGAATATAGTGCCCAGCAGTAACCCCTCTTGTGCCCCCGCCCCCAGGATCACTGTGGTCACGTGGAACGTGGGCACTGCCATGCCCCCCGACGATGTCACATCCCTCCTCCACTTGGGCGGCGGCGGTGACAGCAACGGCGCCGATATGATCGCTATAGGGTGAGGGGGCAGGGCATGTAGACCCCCCCTCCCTGGGTCTCTCGGACCCTTCAAATTCTCGCACAGGTGAGACGTTTCTAGGCGGCCCCCCCACCCCCCGACCCGAAGCACACCCCATCCTGCCTCCCAGGCTGCAGGAAGTGAATTCCATGATCAACAAGCGGCTCAAGGACGCGCTCTTCACGGATCAGTGGAGCGAGCTCTTCATGGACGCTCTGGGGCCCTTCAACTTCGTGCTGGTAACGCCCCCAGACCCCGGACCTGCCGAGTCCCGACTCCCCGGGGAAGGCCGCGGGCCGTGGGCACCGAGTCCTGCTCCCGAGCCGCTGTCGCCTCCCGCTGCAGGTGACCACTGTGCGAATGCAGGGCGTGATCCTGCTGCTGTTCTCCAAATACTACCACCTGCCCTTCCTGCGGGACGTGCAGACCGACTGCACGCGCACCGGCCTGGGCGGCTACTGGGTGAGCGCTCGAGCCCCGCGGGCGTCCCTCCGCCCCGCCAGAAAGGGGGCCCGAGGAGACCCTGACCCTTTGCCCTCCACCCTCCACCCTCCAGACTCCACCTCTTGGCCCACCCATCTCCAGTCCCCTTAGGCCCCGCCCTTTCTGTCCCCGGTCTGGGGTCACGGTGCCGCCCGTCCCCTGGGCGCCGTCCCTCTCCGGGCCCACAAGGTGCCCGCCCTTACTCCCCCGCCCCACCTGCCTCGTCCCCAGGGCAACAAGGGCGGAGTGAGCGTGCGCCTGGCCGTCTTTGGGCACATGCTCTGCTTCCTCAACTGTCACCTGCCGGCGCACATGGACAAGGCGGAGCAGCGCAAGGATAACTTCCAGACCATCCTGAACCTCCAGCAGTTCCAGGGGCCCGGCGCGCAAGGCATTCTAGACCACGAGTATGGGCGGGGGCGGGGCCAAATGGGATGGGCGGAGCTTGTGATCGATGGGCGGGGCCTCCAGGTCGGCTCTGCAAATTTGTGCGCAAGGAACCCTGTAATCACCAGCCCCCTGGTGAGGTTTGTGGTGGGGAGTGGGGGGATGACCCTCCAGACTACTTCTAGGAATAAGAATGTAGGTAAGAGTTTGATGGCAAGTGCCAAGTCCTGTAAAGGAGGAACTTTCCTGAGGAAAGGGCCAAGGCTTGTTGAGACCAAAAAGCAAGCCAAACTCTTTGCCATCCAGTTGATGCTGACTCATAGTGACCACCTGTGGGTTTCTGACACTGTAACTGGTTAAGGAAGTAGAAAGGCCAGTCTTCCTCCCACGGAGCTGCTGGTTTTGAACTACCAACGTTGCAGTTCACAACCCAACGTGTAACCACAACACCACCAGGGTCCCTCAGTGAGAGGCAGGCCAAATCCTCTTCTAGACCCTCCACCTGTGCCAAAGTTGGAAAGAATGGAGGTTCTGAAGCACCTCACCCACCCACAGCAACACCAGGAAGCCCTGCCCCTAGAGCTCCCCCCACCCCTCGGTGCTGTTTGGGATTGGAAGGGGTCCAGGAACGCGCGTGCACTCTTCATTTCATGCACCCCCACCCAACAGCCTGGTGTTCTGGTTTGGAGACTTGAACTTCCGCATCGAGAGCTATGACCTACACTTTGTCAAGTTCGCCATCGACAGCAACCAACTCCACCAGCTTTGGGAGAAAGACCAGGTGTGGGATCCCACCCCCTCGCCCCCTCCGCACCCCCAGATCCCCCCATCCCTAAGCTTACATAGCACACCTAGAACATGCCTGTACAGACCTTGCCTTCACCTGCCCTATGCCACCACCAGAAGTTGGGCTCAGGGAATTAGAGAGGGGTCTGCTAAGGCCCCTGCCCACTTCTTTCCTCCTGGACCCTCACAGCTCAATATGGCCAAGAACACCTGGCCCATCCTGAAGGGCTTCCAGGAGGGCCCCCTCAACTTTGCGCCCACTTTCAAGTTTGATGTGGGTACCAACAAATATGATACCAGGTGAGCTCAGTTGTGGGCTGTGGTCTTTGGAGAAGGAGACTCGGGAGGAGGCACAAGAAGCCAGGCTTGGGCTGCGTCTTCACCCTGAAACTCAGTCTGTCCTCGCTCACTGCAGTGCCAAGAAGCGGAAGCCAGCCTGGACAGACCGTATCCTGTGGAAGGTCAAGGCTCCTGGTGGGGGTCCCAGCCCCTCAGGACGGGAGAGTCACCGACTTCAGGTGTCCCAACACAGCTACCGCAGCCACATGGAATACACAGTTAGTGACCACAAGCCTGTGGCTGCCCAGTTTGTACTGCAGGTGAGTTCTGGCTTCACCCACCCCTCCTGATAGACTCAGGTCTAACTCAGCATCCCCTGTCCACTACTAAACCCTTGCAGCATCCATTCACGTAGTAGCGTGGGGATGGGATGGTGGGGTGGTGGTGGTTGGTAGGGAAGGGGGGATGATCCCCACTTCCATATGAGGAAACTGAGGCTCAGAGTCACGACATCGTTTTTCCAGGGTTATACAGCTAGCAGGAGAAAGAGTTAGGGCTTGAACCCAGGCCAATCTGATTTCTGAGCCCATAGGCCTGGTGGTCCATGTGGCTGCTAACTAGAAGGTTGGTCGTTTGAACCCACCCAGCCACTTTGCAGGAGGAAGGTCTGTGATCTGTTCTCATAAAGATTACAGCTCAGAAAACCCTGTAAATATATATATCTAAGCCACTGCCATGAAGTTGATTCTGCCTCCTAGTGCTCCCAGGTAGGGTTTCTGAGGCTTTGTAAATCTTGACAGGACAGGCAGTTTCAGCTTTCTCCTGCTAAGCAGCAGGTGGGTTTGGACACCACCTGCAGGGCTCTGCGCTGTGAGGCAGTCCAGCTCTGTCAAACGAGTCCTCTATGCATCTGAACAGACTGCACAGCACCTAAGGATAACGACATCAAAGAGATTTGGGGCATCTTATGTTATAATTCACATAGGTAATAAAACCACTGAGACCAGAAGATCTATTCAAATCCCAAGTAGCCCGCATTCCTCCATTACTTATTAAGTACGTATCCTATACCATGCATGATAAGAAGGATGGAAGATCCCCGGTGGTGCCGTGGTTAAGCACTTGACTGCTAACTGGCAGCCTAACGGTGTGACCTGACCAGCTGGAAGACGTGACCGTCCGTTTTGTTAAAATGTGCAGTCTTGGAAACCCTATGCAGATAGTTCTCCTCTGCCCGATTTGGTCGCTCTGGATCAGAATGACTTCATAGCCACCGGTGGGGGTTTTTTGGTTTGTTTTTTCAAGAGCGATGTAGAGAGGAGTAAAGATATGTCCTTAAAATGTAGCTATGAACTCGAACTAGTTATTATACTTTCACCCTGGATTTAGGATGGAATCATAGAATGTCGGAGCAAGACCTGGGAGATCACCCCGAGGCCCCTGGCAAAATGGAGCAGACCCCATCTGGGCAGCCCTGAAACCCCACTCTGGACTCTTTGCTTTTCTTGATCTGATAAGGAGGAGTCCTGTGGGCAAGAGCGTTCTCTCCTGGTACTTGGTCACATGGTCTCTCCATGGAATGCTGACCTGGGTTCTCTGCAGGCAAGGAAAATATGCCCACACCTGGTCTCCTGTGACCTTTGGTAAAGGGCTTGGGCATGAAGTTTAACCCCCCCAATCAGGAACCTGGTTTTGGGAGCCACTCCTTTTGGGCACCCCACCCTGTCCTTCCCTCCTTGTCCTGTGGCCTTGAGAAATATCACCTTTAAGCACCTACCACTTGCTGAGCCCTGTGCAGGGCACTGTATGCTTGTTCTTCCTTTGAATGCTGCAGTAGGGCCCCCCCGCCCCCCACTCACTCATGGCCATCATGGAGCTGATTCCAAATCATAGCGACCCTGTGGGACAGGGCAAAACTACCCTGTGGGTTTCTGAGACTGAAACTTTCATGGGAGTAGAAAGGCTCATCTTTCTCTCTTGGAGCAACTGGCGGTTTTGAACTGCTGACTTTGCAGTTAGACGTCTTAGAATGCTTAGATGCTCCTTATTCAGCTCCTCATTTTATTGGTAAGGGGGACAGAAACTCACTGATTAACTTCTTTGTTCAAGCAACAGAACAGACCTTAAAAAAACAACAAAGAGAAAAACCTGATGGCTATCAAGTGAATGCTGGCTCACAGTGACCCTATAGCCCAGGCCAGACTGCCCCCTCTGCGTTTCTGAGCCTGTGACTCTTCACAGGAGTAGAAACCCCCTCTTTCTCCCGTGAGAGAACACGCTCCCAGGGCAAGGGCAATCCTGCACCGGTTTCGGAAGGCCCTGCCCTGGGCGTAGGGAGAGGATGTGCTAGTGGAAGCTGAGGAAACAAGGAAGAAAACCGGAGCCCAGATCAACAGAGCAGACAAAGGCCTGAGTCTGGCACCCCCTGAGCCCTTCCCTTGGGGACAGAGGTGGAGCCAGGACCCTGCGCATGGCCACCCTGGCCAACCCCATCCACACAGGGGCCCTCTGGTCAGCCTTGACTGGCCTTGGGGAGAGAATGCTCATGGTTATCGCCTGTCCTCCTAAAATGATTACACAATAGCGAATGGCGCCTTAGTACACAAGGCGGGGCTGAGTCTCAGGATGGCTGGGGACTTCCATGGAAATGAACTGTCTAGGGCTCTTACCTCACCTATTCCAGAATACCCAGTGCATCATGGGACTTTATCTGCCTCCCATGCCGACAAATCCTTTATGGGGGGCCTACTGCATTCTTTCCATTTATCTCAGACGTAATGAGAGACAGATGGGGCTTTCTGCTCCCATAAAGAGTTACAGTCCCGGAAAACCCACAGGAGTAGTTCAACCCTGTTCTGTAGGGCCGCTGTGAGTCAGAATTGATTAATGGCAGTGAGTTGAGTTACTATGTTCTAGAAACTTTGGGAGATGCTTCACAGATGGTATCTCATTGACTCTATAGAACACCCCAAAAGTCCTTAAGAGCGTGCAGGTTCAGAGAGGTTGAGCAGTTCTCCCAGACCACACAGCCTGTCAGAGGCAGAGCCAGAGCCAAAGCTCTTTTTGGACTTCCTAGAGAGGCGGTGGGCAGGAAGCCTGGCATTCATCCCAGACTTGGTCTGCCTCGATTTACCAGGGGCTCAAAGGCCCTTCGTCTCATTTGCCCCATGCCAAATCCAAGAACCAAAGCCCTTAGTCCATGGGCTGTTCCTGATGTTGCCCCTGCTCCCACCTTGCCTGGGCAGTTTGCCTTCAGGGACGACGTGCCCCTGGTGCGGTTGGAGGTGGCAGATGAGTGGGTGCGACCGGAGCAGGCTGTGGTCAGGTACCGCGTGGAAACGGTGTTCGCCCGAAGCTCCTGGGACTGGATCGGCTTGTACCGGGTGAGAAGGGCAGGGGTGATCAGCAGGATGGGGCACCACCGTGGGGTTCAGACTTGGATGCCACACCCAGAGGTCGGCAATAAGGGTCACAACCTCCAATCCTCTCATTCCAGGTGGGGTTCCACCACTGTAAGGACTACGTGGCTTACGTGTGGGCCAAACACGAGGACATGGACGGCCATGTCTACCAGGTACTTAGAGGACTGAGGGGATCCAGATTGCTTTTAGGGACTCAGACCTGGACTTGGGTGATGGGGGGGAGGGTATGGTGGGGCAGGGGCTGAGGCTGCCTCTCTGACCTTGACCTGGGTCAATGTCCTGGGCCCACCAGGTAACATTCAGTGAGGACTCACTGCCCAAGGGCCATGGAGACTTCATCCTGGGCTATTACAGCCACAACCACAGCATCCTGATTGGTGTCACTGAGCCCTTCCAGGTAAGGAGGACAGGTGGGGTTCGGGATGCCCAGAGACCCTGGTCACATTCCTGGGCCGGCCAAGGGGAGGGTGGGAGGCGTGTGTCTTAGTTGTGTAGTGCCCCCGTAACAGAGATGCCGCAAACATGTGGCTTGACCAACAGAAGTTTACTTTAGCACAGTTTAGGGGCCTGGCCATCCAAATCCAGGGGGCCAGCCCTAGGGAAAGACTTCCCCATCTCTGAGCTCTGGAGTAAGGGCCTGGTCACTTCTGAGCGTCTGCTCCTGGGAGCCCTTCCTGTGGCCTGGTATCTTTCTCTCCCATCTCTGCAGGCTCCCTTGTACAATAATCCCTTTATATCTCTTAAAACGAGCCGGGCTCCACCCCACCCCCCACCCCCAGGAATCCTGCCTCTCGAAAGTAATAAAACACAGCCCATTCTCAAATGGGTTTACAACCACTGGCAGGGCTTCGGGGTTAGGATTTACCGGCAGGGTTTCGAGGTTAGGATTTACAACACAGAGCATAGAGTGGGAGGAGTCTAAGAGGCCTTGAAGCTGGTTGAGGGTGGAGGTACCCCCCCCCCCGTAACCATGGTCCCCGCCCTCCCCTAGATCTCACTGCCTACCTCGGAGGTGGCCAGCAGCACCACAGACAGTTCGGGGGCCAGCTCAGAGGACGAAGACGACAGCACCATGGAGCTGCTTGCCCCCAAGTCCCGCAGCCCCAGCCCTGGAAAGTCCAAGCGGCACCGCAGCCGCAGCCCAGGCCTGTCCCGCTTCCCTAGCCTCGCCCTGCGCCCATCCTCCCAAGAACGCAGAGGTGCCAGCCGCAGCCCATCACCTCAGAACCGCCGTCTATCCCGAGTGGCTCCTGATAGGGGCAGTAGTGAGGAGGGACCCTCCAGGCTGCCTGGGCCCTGGGTCTTCCCACCAGCTGTGCCTCAAAGCCTGGGCCTGCTACCTGCTTTGCGCCTGGAGACCGTGGACCCTGGAGGCGGTGGCGGTGGAGGCAGCCGCTCTTGGGGCTGTGACCTGGAGGCCTCTGCTCCCAACAGCCTGTCCCCCAGCCCCTAGGGCCGGCAGGGGATGGAGGAGGGGGGCCTGGGGCCCTGAGGAGGCAAGTGGGGACTTACCTGCCTGCTCTGCCCCAATTTTCCACAAACCTGCCTGCCTCCCTCCCGCTGCTGCTCCTGCTGAATCCGCACACAGGGGGTTGTCAACTGGGGTCCCCCAAACTCGGCTCCTTTATCATCTCAACAGTGACAGTCAGCAAAGCCCTGCCCTGCCCCCCGCCCCGCCCCCAATCTGGGATGGGGGTCAGGGGTGGGAGGCAGGAGACTGTGGTAGACGGCCCTGTTCTGGGTGTTCTCCTTAGGAATTAAATTCTCCTGCTTATGGGCTCTTTGCTGACTTCTCCGCTGGGTGCGTCAGATGGGAGGAAATCCAGAGGTCAGCCGGGTGGTGAGAAAACTGATCCACGGTCTCCCTCGGATCTGAACCACGGCCCTGTGGGTTCTGTACCTTGTGTAGACCCATTTCACAGGCAAGGAAACCGAGGCCTCCCAGAGGACCTGCGAGGATCTCAGGATGCGACACCTAAGCACAGGCTGGCTGGGTGCGCACAGGAGGGCGGGCAAGGGTCCTAGGGGCTAAGCCCTGGCCGTTCACCAGGTCAGTTTATGGCCCTCCTTGTTGAAGGGAAACACCAAGGCTCAGAGTGGAGGAGGGGTGCCCCTGTCCCTAGGGCCCGGGACAACTCACATTTAGATTTGGGACAGAAAGATCTAGGGCTTCACTGGGAGAGATGAAACAGATGTCAAGGGGCCTTGAGGGGGGGTTGGGGGAGGGCGCTTGGGTAGCCCCTCCCCAGTGCCTCTGCCACTTCTGTGACATCTCTCATCCCCCCCCCCCCCTGCTGCCCAGAGCTTCCTGTAGCTGCCAAGGGCTCAGGGTCCCAGGCAGGCCAACTAGTGAGCCAGGTATTAATATCAGGGTGCCAGCGCTGCTCCCAGCACCACGTGAACTGCTGCGTAGGTTGACCACTTCCCCCTCTCCCCTGGTCATGAAGTTCCCTGGCCAGACCCGAGCGCAGGGCTCAGAGTGAACCTTCTGAGCACGCCCTCCAGGTGCAGAGCCTTGGCTTCGCCAGCCCACGGTCACCCAGAGCAACAGGAGACACGAGGAAGCACGTGGGTGTAGGACCCTCCTCTTGCAGCCTCTGACGGGCCCCCAAATGCCCGCCATGCTTCATTCTCGGCCATGGAGAGGGGCTGGGGCCCCTAGGGCCTGGCAAAGCCGGGGTCACGGTCCAGGTTGGTGCCTAGGAGAGCTGGATCTCAGGGTGCTGGCTCGAGGATTTCCACTGATCACGGGGGCTCCGGGCCGCCTGGGTCAGCCTCCTGCACTGTTCGAAGAATGTTACCAGGCCCTCTGGGTGCTCCGAGGACCCTGGCGACCCCTCCTCTACGCCTGCACCCAGGATCTGGAGTCGCAGCTGAAGCCGTTGCAAATGGCGAGCGGACACCTCGATGGCCCTGGGGCTTCCCGGGCAGCTGTGGGGAGAGAAGAGAGAGGCAGACGGTCAGGGCTGCTAAAGAGCCTCTCTTCGTCTGTAGGCAGGGAGGCTGAGGCTCACGGAGAACTCGAGTGGGGCTGGGGCCATGAACAAAGAGGGCAGGGGGTGCGGGGAGCTGCACCTGGGAGGGGCCAGAATAAACCCTCGTCCTGGGCTCTGCACTCCCACTCTGACCCAGCTGGGGCCTCAGTTTCCTCCGCTGTGAAATGGGGAAGGGGCTGGCTTTGAGCCGCAGAGTGAAATGGGATTTGGAGAGACCCAGGCTAAGTGCCTCCCAAGCACCATCTCCGAGACGCCTACAGCCATCTCTCCGGTAAGGAAAAGGAGGCTCAGTAAGGTCAGCGGACTTGGCAGGTCCACTCCGGAGGTCCATGACAGAGCTGAGAGGCTGCCTGTGTGGGCCAACTGGGCTCCAGCTGGACCTGGGTGGCCACAAGGGGTGAGGGCAATGAGCTCAGAGACCCCCTAGCCCCCTCCTTTGCTTCTTCAGCCAGGCACACAAAAGGAGGTGCAGGCCTCCACGCTCCCCGACCCCTTGCTGTCACTTACGCTCTGCGTTCAGCACAGTCCAGCACAGGAGCCAACCTGAAGCAGGTCTGGCTCAGCAGTCCCAAAAGCCTGCTGGTGACCGGAGGTGAGTTGTGACGTCTCAGGAAACGCGCGAGGCTGAGGGACAAAGGCAGGTCAGGCCAGGCAGGGGGCCTCGCTGGCCAGGGGCCCCTTCCATGTGCCTGGTGGGAAAGGGGCCCCACCCTACGGTCCCAGCAGGCCTCACCGACGGGTGCAGTTGCAGTGGAAAAGCGGCTGGTGGGCACGGTTGAGCAGTTGGAACTTGGTCTCCTGGGGCCCAATCTGGTACGAACACCGGTCCAGGCGGCGGAAGCTGCGGCAGGCCCAGTGAGCGCCTAGAGGTGGGCACAGTGATGAGGGGATCCCAGGACCTTGGGGCACGCCTGGCAGAGCCAAGGGGCGCCTGTGCTGCCTCTGGCTCAGCCCTGGAGGGCTGCACACATGGCTATGAGAGGTGGGGGAGGTCAGGGGAGGCTTCCTGGAGATGAGCACGTGCCAGGCAGAACAGAACAGCAAGGGGCAGAGGTGAGTGAGGGCACGTGACTTTTGAACAGCAAAGAGAAGTTGGTGGGCCTGGAGTGCCTGTTCTGGAGTCGGATCTGCAGAACCAGGACCTGGGGGTGTTGGGAGATGACTGGCTGAAGGAAAGGGGAGGCATGGCATGGCAGGGGCTCATCTTGACCTCCCCATCTCGGTTTGATGTGATGGAGGAAGTGGGGAGACCCCAGGAAGGGGGGGTGGCACAGGAAAGGAGTCGAATCCCAGATTCTCACACACAGAGCCAGGGACCCGGGAGACAGGAGCCCCGGGAGACAGGAGCCCCAGGAGACAGGAGTCCTTCTCGCAGGGAGGGGCTGCACTAGCACTTGGGCCCGTGTCCCCAAGCCACCATCCTGCCCAACTGCCTCACCCGTGAGCAGCCTGGGAGGTGAGACCCTCAGTGCAGGAAGAAGTTCAGCTTGGCTCCGCAGGGGGGTGAGGAAGCTGCAGCCCACGGGCCCAGCTGGGTTAGGTTCTGAGCTTACTTTTAGGAAACGTGTCATTCCATGGCCCCTGCCGGCCTGCATGGAGCACCCTGAGGGCTGTGACGTTGACTCTGCTGGGGTCCTTGGGCCCTTCCAGCTGTAGTGGCCACTTCTGAGGGTGTTCGTCCCATTGTGGAGTGGTGGGGGGTGGGCTGGGGCTGGTTCTCAGAGTGGGGCTCCGGGAGATATTGTAGAGAGTTCTGGGCTGGAGGCGGGCAAGGCTCGCTGAACCATATGTCTTACACCTGGGAGATGGCCGTTGGGAGCCGTTAAAACAAACCAACAAAAAACCCAAAGCAAAACCCCATTGAATTCCAGCTGACAGTGACTCTAGATAGGGTTTCTACGGCTGTCAATCTTTATAGGAGCAGACAGCTTCATCTTTCCCACTAGTGGTCAGCAGTCCAAAGCCTCGTCCAGAGCAGGGTGGTAGCTGATGGTAGTCGTTAGTAAGTAACCTGGAATCGCCCTTCCCAGAAGCCTCTGTGGCCATCTCCAGGGAGTCAGGGCTCTGCTAATCCCACCCTACCCCTCATCCCACTGGGCTGTGGCAGACACCGGGGAGGTTTCTCTGCCCTGAGTAGGCAGAATGAGGAGCATTTCCTGAAGGACAGACAGACAAATGGTGTCTTCTCCCCGGAACTTGGGATTTGGGCAGAGGGTCCAAGGAGCAGTCACGTACCCGCCCCACCAGTACCACGCCACACACGCCTCTTGCTGTTCCAACAGGAAGCAAGGAATGTCCAGCACATTGAAGAAGGTCACACCCACAAGGTCCGAAATGGAGTCATGCTGATTCTGCAGGCATCCACGGAATCTGCCGAAGGGAAGGCGGGACTCAGAGGGCTACCTGGCTTCTCCCCCAGCCCAGCCTGAGGCCACCAGCCAGGAGCTTTGGCCCTCGGCTTTCCCCACTGTTCAGGGGTCTCTGGGGTTCCCTCTGTACCCAGGAGCTGGACCTGAACCTGAGCCCCCCCGCCCGCCTTGCCGGCCACTCACTTGGCGTCACAGTCACAGTGGGAGATGGTGTGGAAGCGGTAGTTTCGGATGCCATAGGCGTACTGGAGGGGGGTGATGGTCTGTGGGCAGTGGTCATGTTCCTTGCAACAGAGGTCAGGGCCCTGGAAGAGTCCTGCAGTGGGGGAGGAGGGCATGCTAGCTCAGCAGAGTTCTGGGCCCATCTGGTACCAAGAAGGCAGGACTGGTCCTTGCCTCAGCTTTGGCACCTATGGCCTGGTGGCCTCTGGCCTGTCACTGTCCCTCTGCAGATGCCGGGAGGTCACCCAGGAGCTCTAGGAAAGTCTTCCAGTCGGGAAACGGAGCCTGCTTCCAGAGTCCCCAGCTCACTCCCCAGAAAACGCCCAAGTTATAAACCTGAGTGTCACAGAATGGCTGGCAGGCAGGGTGCAGCCTTTCCTGCTGGCTCGTCAAGGCATTGCCAGGATGCCAAACTGCTCCAACTCAGGTGCCAAACGCTCTGCCCGCAGCAGCCCTCTGCGCATCCGCACAGGCAGCTGCGCTGAGAGTGGGTGGACGAGAGCATGCCCATGCCCACGCCCGCGCCCACGCCGGAGTGAGACAAGGCTGTTCCCAAGAGGATTTAGAACCTCAGAAAGACCCGGGAGCAACCCTGCTCTGTCCTAGAGGACAGTGGCTGTGAGTCAGACTCCACCGGACCACAGTGACTCTACGGGACGTCCCCCAAGTGCACAGCAAGCGGCATTCCGGGAGGCGTCGGCTCCGTTCTTCAGGTGAGAAAACTGAGGTTCAGAGAGAAGTGACTTGCCTACTTTGCAGGTGCTGAGCTGGGATTTCAACCCAGGCCTTCAGCTCCCTGCAGGGCATAGGATCGAGGCCCACGAAGCCTGCTCTTCAGGGGTGGCTTTCTGGTTCAGCAGACCCTGAGCTCACCTGCACGGGTCTCCTCCACCAGGGTGGTGATTAATGAGGACAAGGGGGAGCAAGACCTTATACACCCATGATTTTGTTTATTTATACATCCATGCCGGGATTCACCGTGACACCGCCCCCCCCCCCAACTTTAAACCCAAGCCAAACCAAACCCCACTGCCATCCAGCCTAGCATGATACTACCAGACAGCGTAGAACTGCCTTTTAGGATTTCTGAGACTCCAACTCTTTACAGGAGCAGACAGCTTCATCTTTCCCTGGAGACGTGGCTGGGTCTGAACTGGTGCCCTTGCAGTTAGCAGTCCAATCCTTAGCCCACAGCATCACGGGGACTCCTACCCCCATTTTACCAAAACAAACAAACAAACAAACTCACTCCATGGAGTCAGTGCCAACTCATAGCAACCCTACAGGATAGGGTAGCACTGCCCCGGTGGGCTTCTAAGGCTGTAACTATTTACAGGAATAGAAAGCCCTATCTTCTTCCCGCAGAGTTGCTGGTGGTTTTGAACTGCTGACCTTGCAGTTGAGCAGCCCAAAGCATAACCACTCTACCACCAGGGCTTCCCTACACCACCACCCCCACTTTACAGATAAGGAAATTGAGGCTCCGAGCAGTTAAGTACTTCCTCCCACGGACACACAGCTTGGGAGAATTCGGACCCACAAAAAACCTGCACATCCTCCCCTCACTCAGGACCCGGCAGCTCACCTAGCTCCGACGAGTTACTGGCAGAGTCCCCAATGCCACACCACAGCGTGCCAGGCATGGTCCAGCCTCTCTTGGCCCGGTGGTGCCCCCTGCCAGATGCTTCACTCTGCCGAGTCACTTGCTTCTTCCCGGCACCTGCTGGCAGCTCCTCCGACAGTTGGCAGGCCTCCCACTGACTCTGAAGGGTGTTGAGGGCTGTCTGCAGCTCAGGCCTAGGGGTGGCAGTGAAGGTGGCTCGGGTGGTCTCCTGAGCACAGAGGGTGCGGAAGGCTGCGATGAGCTTGGGTGAGTCCTGCCGGCTACATGCCTGCAGCCTCCCATGGCCGTCCCAGCGGGTGTGGAACAAGGCCAGTCCCCCAGCATCCTTGGCCAAGAAGCTCAGGAAGGCCAGAGGACCACCCAAGGGCCCAGCCAAGTGGCAGAAAGTGCTGTCCCAGTGGGGAACAGGAGCGTTCCCCAGAGCCACCCCTAGAAAGCCCAGAACTCCCAGAAGGACCCCCAGAACCCGCATCTCGCCCTGGCCCAGGTCCTGACAGGCAGACAAAGCCTCCGGATGCCTGCCCTGGCGGCCAGCCTGCCCGTGGAAGCGGTGCAGCAGGCCCTAGTGAATGGAGTTGGAGGAGGGTGTAGAGGGCTGGAATATGAGGTGATCTCAGCCTTGTAACTGAATCCACCGGCTGGGCAGGCTGCTGATTGGCCAAGAAGCGCACTTGTCTGGGCCTACGCCCCCACTCACCCCGCCCTTCTCGGCACCTTCCAGTCACCTGTTACTGGCCCCCACCCAGATGGGAACTATGGGCAGCAATGCCCAGGACCTGGGATGGAGGGGGGGCGGAGAGGGGGGGGCGTGTCAGAGGTTTCTTTATGTCCCTGGGCAGGGAGAGAGTTCAAGGGTCTAGGAGACCCACAAAGCCCCTTCGTGTCCCCTAACCCAGTGGTATCTGCCACAGCCACCTCCATCAAGCAGGCAGAGGGCCGGGCTGGCTGCCAGGACTGGATGAAAGAGGTGAGGGCAGGGCTCAGGGGATTCTGGGAAAGAGAGCGCCCATCCCCTGCCTACATAGAGTGCATCTTCCACTTCTGGTTCTTAGAAGGGCTCTTACTACATCCAGGAACAGCATCTCAGGGCTCTCCACTTCCTGGGACTCTGTGAGAACCCGGTCTGGCCCCAGAGCTGTGCTCCTGCTCTAACGGTGGAGACAGTGGGAACAGGGCTGGCAGGCAACGTGGGCTGGCATTTTGCCCTTGACAGGATTGTGGCCCAAAGGGAGCAGAGGGTGATCAGAGGCTGGGGCTGCAGCACCTTCATCTGTGGATTGTAACCCCGGGGGATATGCAGCCATCATAACTTTAGCAGTGTGGGATTCTTCCATCAAAGGAGGGCTGAGCTGAGCCTGGTCCCCAAACCGAAGTATCATTCAACCACCAACCCCCAGGGGAAGCTCAGTGCGGGGGAGAAGACTGCAGATCACAGGCCCAGCTGGCGAGAGGCTAGAGCCTGGGTGTGGCGCTCTTGGGGGACCTTACTGGGAGGTGGGTGGGTGCAGGCTGGCCTGGAAAGGCATTTTTCTGCCCCTCTGCCTTTCAGCTTCCTGCTCCTGGTGGCCCCTAACCTTTACTGAGTTCCCGAGGTTACCGCTCAGTGTGGGGAAGTGGGCAGAGCTGGGGCTGTGTAGTGCAAGCAGGACTATAGGGGGACAGGCTTATCTTATGGCCTCAGGGCCAGCAGTGACAGAGGTGGTAGGAAATCCAGACTTCCCCCTGCCCCCCAAAAGACAAGGGGAGGACTGAACAAGGGTGCTTCCTCGGGGAAAGATTCTAACCTTTGAAAACCACATCTGGGAGCTTTCCCCAGCCATAGGGAGGGCAGCCCAACTCTTGTCCCCATTTCCCCAAATCCAGCCCATCCCTGCCTGACAGCAGGGGAGGCTGGGAGTGTCCCAGGGCAGAAACAGCCTTCTGAGTCAGATAGGGCAGTTTCAGATCCGAGGCGGTAAGCACACCTTTACTTCTCTGAGCCTCGGTTTTCTCATCCCTCCAATGGGCACAGTGACCATAGTCTCTTCCAGGAGGGTTGGGGGAGACTGGACAAGGAGCCTGACAACCACAGCCCTGTCCCTGAAGAACTGGAACACCCACGGGTGGAAGGCGATTGCCCAGGGCAGAGTAAATCCCAAGGGTTCCCACCTCAGCATGCACACCCAGCCCTGGCCGGGACACTGCCTGGCTATGTCATTTGGGGCTGAACCCTGACTCTTTCTTGGCTAGGGTTTCCTCCACTGTGCCGCAAGGAACTTGGAGTTGACCTTTGAGGTCTTTTCGAAGAGGTCTGGGCCCAGAGGGAGACAGGCCAGGGCCTGCCCAGGAGGGTGTCACTGGGCTTTTCCCTCAGACCCCACCCAGGTGGCCACGTCACTCAGCCTTGGGGACAGGCTCAGGTGCCTTGCCTCCCACTGGGGTGCCCCTCAGAGGCCTTGGAGCAGGGATGGGAGAGGGCAAACCAGCAGGGCAGGTTCAGGCTGGATCCTGCAGATGCAAGGTCTTTCCTCTGGGCCGCCACCTGTCCATGGCGGGGGCCAGTGGGGAGCGAGAGCGGGTGTCTTGGGAGAAGGTGTCCTTGCCATCCACGCTGTCTGTTTCTTGCCTGTCTCTCTCCATCTCTTGATCTTCTCTCTCATCATGCGTGCTCTCTCTCTCTCTCTCTCTCTCTCTCTCGGTTTCTTTCCCTCTTTGTCTCTGATTCTCCTCATTTCGTTCCGTCTCCCCCACCTCACTCGCTCTCTCCCACTCTTTTTTCCTCTGGGAGTCTCATCATCTCTTCCCTGTCTCTCTTGGTGGATTTTCACTGTGCCTCCAGGCCCGTGTCTCAAACTCTCTCTCTGCCTCCTTCCTTCTGGGTATCTTTCTTGTGACCTTTCTGTCTCTCTGGTCTCTTTCTGCACTTCTTTCCCCAATCATGTTTCCTTCTCTCCTCTCCTCCTCATCGCCCTGCCCTTCTCCGTCTCTCGCGTTTTCTCTGCCACGTACGCGTGCGTCCGCCTCTCCCTCACTGTGACTTCCCTTCGCTCTCCACGGAGTCTGGCTTCCGAAACACAGAGACATCCTCCGTGTGACATGTTCCCAGCCATGACCTCATTGGATGTCACAACCGTGCCCCTCCCTGGAGAACCGGGCAAGGCAGGGCAGGGCCGGGCAGCGCTCTCACCCCGGTGCAAAGATGAACGAGTGAGGCTCAGAAGAGTGAGAGCCAGGAGCCCCAGGGTGGAGCAGGAGAGGAGCCAGGTCTGTCTGGACTCCCAACACACACACAAACACACACACACACACACCCCTCAGGTGTTCCTTTCCTAGGGCCTGGGAGACTCGGGCTCAGCTCCTAGCAGCCTCCCCATTGCCAAGGCCTTGACAGGGGCCTGGCTGGTGCCCCTCCCTCTGCCTAGGGGGTTCTCAGCTGCTCCCAGCACTGCTGAGAGAAAGGGGAGAGCAGTGCCTAGCTCCCAAGCTTTCCAGGCTGACTCTAAACAGCTGCTGGGTGGCTGCTCGTGCCAGGCACAGGGGGTAGGCCTGCACAGAGCGTGCTTGAAAGAGGCAGCAAGGTCAAGGACTGACTTGGTCCTGCCGACTGAGGAGCTGGGAGAGTCCCCATCCCCATAAGGTGAGAAGCACCTGGGATTCATTGGAGGACATGTCTGCGAAAGGCCAATGGGGAGAGAGCAGGATGGGACAGAGAAGCTGTTGGGGTGACCTGGCGCTGCTGTAACCGAATTCCAAGTGAATGGTATGAATAAGCACATGTATTGTCTCACACTTTGGGAGCCTCATAGTCCAACTTCAGGAGGCTGTTTGCTCTCCCGGTGGACAATGAAGGAAGCTCCTGGTCTCTCCTGAGCTTCTGCTCCTGGGAGCTCTTCCTGTGGCTTGGTGTCTCTCTCCCCCCATGTCTGCTTTTTTGTATAAGCTCCTCTCATATCTCAAAAGAAATGGCCATAAACACCGGGTACATGAGCCCTGCCTCATTACCGTAACAAGGACTGCTCACTCCCAAATGGGGTTAGAGCAACAGCATTGTAACCACCAACCACAGAACTGCCCCCACAGGACTTCTAAGGCTGAACTCGTTACTGGCACAGACAGCCACATCTTTCTCTGGTGCAGCGGCTGGTAGGTAAGCAGCCAAGTACTTAACCATTAGGGCTCCACCATAGACATAAAGGTTGAGGGCACATGTCAACCCCTAAGAAAGCCTTCCGACTGTGTTGTAGGCCTGATGTCTTCCAAGGTAGAGACAGAGAGGGCTGGAGGGATTGGTATAAAAGAGCCTTCCACTTAGGTGACCCACGGAGAAGGTCTCTGCCAGCCAGCAAGGAGCCCAATGCACAGACTGCCCGTAGAAGAGCCCCAAGTCAGCAGCAAAGCCCAGACCCTCAGCCACCAGGAAGAGAGAGACCGCAGCGCCTAGTCAGTTGCCGGTCCCCACAGTGCAAAGGAGCAGAGGAAGTCCAGAAGTCAGTCTTCTAGAACCTCCCAGGGCTCAGAAGTAGGAATTGTAGGTCTAGGACCTTCTCCACGAGAGTGCGAGGCAGGCCGGAGTTCACCCCTTAGCAACATCTGCCGCAAACTGAAACCAATCGCAGACCTGGGGGAATAAAGAATGAGATCCAACTGTGTCTACCTAAAACGAATCATCTCACGTGATAGGAAGCCCTGGTTTACATTCAGCAGCGCATTCCGTTAGGAATGGTAAAGAAGGGCGATGGAGCGGTGAGGGCATCAGATTCCTGCAGCCATTCTAGCCAAGAGAGCAAATTCAAAACAACCATGCCAAAAAAAAAACCATTGCCATCAAGTAAAGTCCAACTCATAGGAACCGTGTAGGGCAGAGTAGGACTTCTCAAGACAACTCAAATTTCACAGGAACTCAGCCTCACCTTTCTCCTGTGGAACAACTGGTGGCTTCCACTGGCAAACCTTGTAGTCAACAGCTCAGGATGTCATCAGAGCTCCGGAGCCACATTAGAAGCTGAAATTTAAAAGATGTGCCCAACGAACCCACCCAAGGGGGAGGGGGTATTGCTTCTAGCTCCACAGAAGAGGGAGAAAGGGACCACACTTCAACCCCGTGTGCCAAGATGTGAATGCAAGGTACCGGCATGAACTAATGGAGAGGTGTGCGGGACCGGCCCCAATCCCAACAACGTGGACAACCCCCTCCCCCCATCAAGGAGAATGCACTTCAGAGGGCAACACAGAAGCTACAGCTCTTCCTGAAGCTCAGGAAGAGGGGCATGTCTGATTGGAGCAAACAGGAGCAAAGGAAGAAGGAAGAGAAAGAGTGGAACACATCTTGACCTACCAAACCCCAAGGATGATATTCCTGCTCAGAGCAGCCAATGCACAGAGAGGACCATAGGGCTGGCCCCACCATGAGACACAACGTCCCTCACTGACTCATAGTGCTACCAGGACAAGGCTGGAGACACAGTGTGGGAATTGTGCCTAATCTGACCCCAC